TATATATTAATAGATACTTTATAAGATATATCTTATTTTAAAAGGATTAATTAAATATTCTTCTTAATTAATTATAATTCTCAAATTAACCCTTTTATTTATTTACTTTTAATCTAAATGAAAATTATATTATTTTATAGCTCTTATTAAAGGCTATAAGAATCTTCGATCTATTTCTCGATCTAATATCTCCTTCTTAAGATATAATTACTTTTATCTCTCCTTTCCTTTTATCTATTATTATCTCTTCCTCCTATAACTAAGTAATACCCTTAATTATTACCTATACCTCCTATATCGTCTACGTATATACTAATAGATAAGGATAAGTATATAATTATTATAGTTAATTTTAGTAGTAGAGCTATGTTTATAGCTTGCTCCCTATCTAATGTGATTTCACCCCTGCCGGGCAGAGCAAATAACTAATAAGGGCCGAACAAATAACCGTCCTCTAGTAGTTGGGTCATGGGCTGGCTGCACGTGCTGGGTGCTCTGGTTTGGCCAGTAACAATCAGTGAGTCGACCCCTGGAAGAGCAGTCGGGGGCCGAGTCAGCGCCAGCGTGAGAGAAGGCCGCAAGACATTGCCGATAACATGACATTTGAGGGCGATGGGCGAGGTTTCTTGACATGTCGCAGCGACAATGATCATAGTATATAGAGATTGGCATGCGATTCATCAGAATTTCCTGCATTCAATGTCGTGGCACTCCATCTGATGGTTCCTCAGACATGAACCCAGAGCTAGCCGCCGCAGGCAATGACAATCAGGGTGTGTCGAAGTATCTAGACAATGCGAGAGTAGGAGCTCGACCCTGAACTTCAGAATCATATCACTCAATGGAGAGAGTATCAATATCGAGACACAGACTCCTGGATTCTATGATGGGGATTTTTTTCTGGCCTGCGGCTGCCATTGATGCTATTCGGACCGCTCTCGGATGACAATGTGACACCACCCATTGGTGATTCGGACTCGGAACCTCCACCGAGCTGATTGGCCGTAGACTGCGAGGTCGGAGATGCGGGGACCTCGAAGCCCGCTAGGCCGACGACGTCATAGGCTAGCCAGCCACTGAGACCTGCGTGTTGGGTTACAGGGCGCTGCAGGGACCGATTTCTGGCGCGATAAGCTCGATAGCACCATCTGCAGCGCACCACTAAGGGAAGGTGCGTGCTGCAAGCTGAAGAAAGCGTGACACACACCTTTCCATTCCCACCTGACTCAACTCGGCTTGACCGACGCCAGCCATTTCTGCATCGCTCGCTGCTGCAGAGGAAAAGCCTTCGAAGGAGAACTTGCAGCTTGGCTTCTCGGCGGTCCTACGATTTCCCTCCTTCTTCCCAACTCGCAGCGAGCCGCTCAGCAACATGGCTTCCATCATCCCTACGGCCATCATGGCCCTATCGCATCACACGCCCACGGTTCGCGATTCCTTATCTGGAATCTTTGGAAGCATCAGCCTGACAGCTTGGATCTGCCTTCTGGTAACCCCTCCCTCGCCCGCCGAAGCTTCAGACCCTCCAATGTACGACTCCCGGACTGACGCCGCTCCTAGCTGCCCCAACTCATCGCCAATTACAGGGCGCAAAGTGCCGATGGCCTCTCTATGGGCTTTCTGTTCATCTGGCTGCTTGGTGATATCACCAACCTCGTTGGTTCGTGCCCCCGCAGCACATCTCATAACTCTTCGTGGAACCTGTCAAGCCTCCCTGCCCTCTCGCGATCTATCATTGCGAGCTTACGGCCTGTACTGCCCAGAATGGCAAGGCCACTCTCGCAGGCTCAATCTGATACGCCCAGCTCGCGAGCACACCGCTAACTCGAGCAACACTCTAGGCGCCCTGTTTACACATCTCGCACCGAGCGCTGTCGCCCTCGCCTTCTACTTCTGTATTGCCGACATCGTCCTGATTAGCCAATCCATGTATTATAACGCGAAGAATGCTCGCCGCTCTTCGCGTCACCGCCAGCCGCGCGCCACAGACGACCAGGCCCCAGGGGAGGAAGATCCTCTACTGAACGAGTCGCGCCGCCGCACATCTTCCACTGGCTTGCCTGGGTCGCAGAGGCCGCCACGAGGTCCACACCGAAACATCACTCGAGCCGCTGCGTAAGATTGTGACCGGCGAGGACGATACGCCCGACAGCAACCCCTGGCTGCACAACACCCTAAGCCTCCTTGCCGTGTGGCTTGTCGGTGCTGCCGGCTGGTTCATCTCATACAAGGCCGGTGCCTGGGATGCCGACCACGGATCGTCGGACCCCCAGTCGCCGGAGGAGGACGGCATCATGGCCAAGGTCGGTCTGGCCCTCGGCTACTTCAGCGCTGTATGCTATCTCCTGTAAGTCGACCTCCCTGAGCCATCGCTTCCAAGGACAGACAAGCTAACTGCTCTCAGCGCACGCGTTCCCCAGATTGTCAAGAACTACCGCGAAAAGTCATGCGAAGGACTCGCCCTGCTATTCTTCCTGCTGTCCTTGACGGGCAACCTCTCGTACGGCGCCAGCCTGATCGCGTACTCACAGGACCCGCACTATCTGCTCAAAGCCCTGCCGTGGCTGGTTGGGTCCCTCGGTACCATCGCCGAGGACATGGTTATCTTTGCACAGTTTCACTTGTACGCATCTGAACGCACATCCGTGCTGGCGAGCGCGGCGTGAGATCGTTTACTGCGTGATCAATTGTCGAATGGACAGTCCATGTTGGAAGTACATGCCTTCACAGCCCGATTGGACAGGAGGGCCAAGAACTTGGGCCACGGTTTTATGAAATGGGTATGATAATCGTCGCCCTCTCGTACCTTTGGCATCATCATATGGAGAAGACTGGCTGCATTTATTGGCGTCTGGGCAAGGCTTACGCCACCCGGCTGGCTGGCCGCCATCCGAGGCTGGCCTGGTGACATTTTAATTAGAGTTGTTCAACAGCATTGGTTACGTCGTTGTATTACAACGCGAAGGTAGTCGTCCAGACCACGACGCAGAATCAATGGCGCGTGTTGTCTATTGAGCTTACCAATATTATCAAATATCTAGCGTTCGCGATTACTTTTACGGAGAGCGACATGTTGTGACAATACATTGACCTTGCCCGTAGACCACGAGCTGTCCAATATTGGACGAACTTCGCTTTTGTGCCTTTGATGGCATCCTCCATCTCGGGTGTCCTTTCGCTTTTGCGTTTTGTCAAGCTTGCGCCGCTTTGCATCATCACTCAGTTCGACAAGTCGACGACAGCCTTGGATTACTTTCACTTGTAAAACCCATCATGGGCCCAAATCTCTACGAGCCCCATAATACCACCCGATGTGCCTCAACATGCTGCTATATAATGGTTGCTCATTAACGCGTCGAAGAAGACTTGGAAAGCGGTGGATCTGAAGGAGCTGTCCATGTTGATCTGTCGAAGAGACGCCCGGCCATGGTCCCTCGACTTCTACCGGATCAGCGCGCCAACAGAGTGTATGGGACGTAAAGGCGAGCTGTCAGGGGTTGCCTGGCAATTCAGTGTCCCTCATATGTCAAACATGGCGGTCGTTCAACTTCTGTCAGGCTAGGGAGAACTCGTTGTCAAGTGCGTCTGCCAAGAGGTGAGAGGAATGGCAGTACATGATTTTAATAGCCATCGGGACCTGTGCTCAGAAGACTATGCGCACTCGGATGTGACATCGCTGCTATGTCCAGTTTAAGGAGTCTGTAGGGGTCAGGCCGTCTCCGCCAAGTGTTAGCCGGAAAAGGATAACCAAGATAGTACTGCGGCTCAGGGGCTGGGCTGGAGGTGTAGACCGAGCTCGGGGGCTCCTGGGCGGCTTCGATATAGCGTGGCTTCGTTATCTATAGTTAAGTGTCTGAATAAAGGGCTAGAGCGCGTATTAATTTACTCTTGAAATCAAATTTATAAATATTATCTATTCTTAATTCATTTAAAACATTCAATTCTAAGCTTTTAATAAGTTCTATAGTTATTAAGAATTAATAATATCCTTCCTATTAATCCCTATATACTTCTTTTATATATTTCTATTACTATTTTAAGTATTATTACTTATTATAGGTATAACGGATAGGCAGTTAGAGGGACCCTATTATATAACTATCCCTTCGAACCCGAAAATGATCTCAGTATAAGTAAGCGCCCTATATACTATATACCGCCTTTATAATTAGGTTCAGTGCCACTACCTTTAATAACCTTGCTTAGTACCTAGGGCCCTACCTTATTCTAACGTAATCTACCTAAGATCCTCGCTATAAACCTAGAACGCTTAATATTATTTAGTAGGCTATCGTACTATAGCTTATTATGAATATACTATAGGCTAGGTCCGCGATTTAGTTAGCTATAAAGCTTATTTCTACTACGTTAATTAGGTCCCTCTAGTATATATTTTCTATATCTAAGATCAATTTCGGGTTTAAAGGGATAGGCTAGTAATTACTAATATATAATTCCTATTAATAACTATTAAGGATATTATAGGAGGTATTTAGGTAATGACTAAGGGTATTACTTAGTTAGAGGATAAAGAGATAATAATAGATAAAAGGATAAAAGGAAAGGAGAGATAAAAGTAATTATATCTCGAGAAGGAGATATTAGATTAAGAAATAAACTAAAGATTTTAATAGCCCTTAATAAGAGCTATAAAATAGTATAGGTTTTATTTAGATCGAAGGTAAATAAATAAAGGGGTTAATTAAAAAGAAGATTATAATTAATTAAGAAGAATATTTAAATTAATCTTAATAGAAGTAAAGTATATCTTAGAAAGTATCTATTTATAGTAATTAAGAATAAGTAATTTAAATAGGAATTACTATATAAAGGAGACTTATAAGTATAATTAGAATTAGATTATTATTAAGACTTAAAAAACCTAAAAAATAGGTTAAGGGGGTGCTCTCTATATATAATAGATTAACCCTTAGTAGCTATATATAGATAAGGCGCTTAGACTACCTCTAGACCTATAGGGGAAATAGAGCTAGATTTTAAGCTTTAGCTAATAGAGTATAAGAGAAATTAATAGCTTATTAGTATAGAATAGCTCTATAGGATATTATAAAAAGGATACTATTCTATAGCTATGATATTTCTCTTTTTAATAATATATATATTATTATAGTTTAGCTTTTATTTAAGCTACTAGAGTAGTTATAAGACTCTAACTCCTTATAACTCCTATAAAGATTAATCTAAGTCTTCTCTTTAATTATACTCCCCTTTATATACCTTTAATCTTAAAAAAAAATACTATTCTATAGCTTAAAATAAGGGCTACTAGAATTTTTAATATTATATACCTATTTAATTATATAGGACAATTCATACCCTATATAATAGAGTTATGAACTCTGAAGACCTAGCCTTATAGGCGTAGCATCTAGCTAATCTAGAGACCCTGGGTTGGCTAGGCCTTTTAGTGTAGTGGTTACGCTGCACTACTTGCATCTATAACACTAAGACTCGACTCTAGACCTAGCCCCCTAGATAAGCGATAGCTTCATTTACTAATTCAAACTATATTAAATCTAGTCAATCAATTCAAACAGTCAAATCTATAGTCCAAGAAAATTTAACAGTCAATTCCACCCCTGATATTTGAATTGAGTGTGAATTGATAGTAGCGCTGCTTAGCTATATGAGATCAATTACTCCTAGCCACACTTGAAACAAGCACTGAAGTCGCGGACTGTCGTGCGCATTGCTCCCTTTGGTCCGTAACATGTCACTAGTGGTTAAAGTCACCTATCCCGACGTGCCTAGAGAAATCTTTCTCCTAGTGTCTTGTAGGTCGAGGCCGCTGCGCTGGCACAGAATAATGATTAGGAACGGAAGACATCTTGCTATGGCTCTTCCTCACTTGTGGACATTACGCTGTTGAAGAATCACTTGGGCAGAACGTCACACGTACTCCATCTCCACAGTGGTTTGACACTGAGATCAAGTGGGCACCAAGCTCGGTCCGGTGAATCACCAGGTTCCGAGAAGTGAGCCGAAGCATCTTCAGTGTTGTTATCTCGCTCTCGCTGGAGTGTCAACATGCTGAACCTAGCGCTCGGCCACCAAGCTGCCCAAAGGCCAGACGGCCGAGGTGCTTATTGTTACGGGTCATACCCGTGGCATAGTATAGGCCTGTGGCCTATACCTCTATGAATGCAGCCCAGTTGAATTAACGACGTTGATTCAACACGTATCCTTATAGCTCATTGCATAGCTGCGGGATGACACTTACGACCGTGTGAGGGCTGTCACTAAGCCCCTTTGGGGCCGACCGTAACACTTATATCAAGGCACCAATTTTGTACATTCGCTCTCGTAGCATTTTCCTTGGATGATTTCTGGTGGTTGAAGTTTGTAGTCTCTTTAATGTCCAGAGACTTCGCTCCGTTTTGACAACGAAGTCTGGATAAATGATCATGTTTTATTGGCCGTAAAAGCAGAACCATGGGGTGGTAGGTGATAGCATAAGTTTGGGGGGTCAATATTTGATGTTTCTTTTGAATTCGTAAAGTGTCACTCCTGGGCTGGAATTAACAATGTGCCTTCTTGGGTGGCAGTGAGTTCAATTGTACCGCCTCAACCTCTGGGCTCAGAAAGGCGGCAAAATCCAGCCAAGAACAAGAGGTCGACAGTAATGTGAGCTCATGGATTCGAAGGCATGTCAATATGACGAACGTCAGAGATTGACACCGATCCCATGGAAATCGCGATGGCTGCCCCTATGTCTAGGGAAGCGTTCCAAGGGAAGTCAAGCGATTGGTCTGATGGTGGTTGAGGTTGTGATGGCATGTGCTGAATGGCACGATGTGGCTTGAGAGCCGAATACGGCGGGAACCCTTCCAACACCTGAGCTAGCAGTGAGTAGGAACGTCGAGCTGGCGCCCTTGTCTCCTACTTGGTTAAGTCTACATGATGGCGTTGGGTGTCTGACCAACTCGGCTTCGTGAGTGCTGGACGAGGACAGGGGAGAACGTGCGGGTAAGATATCCTACGCCCTTGAAGAGAGACTTGGGGAGACCCAAGTGATCCACTGTATTGACGGCATAAACTGGGTACCTTCCAAGTACCGTGTTCGGCGTCCGAGTGGGTACACCTGCCCGGGCCCCAGCCTTTGGAGTCCCGGACATCGTTTTCCTTCTCCAGCCTACTCTCGCTGTGTCTCCCTTGTCTTCCCGCCCAGGTTCGCTTCAGGCCACGGCTCAAGTCGCCCAATCCTGAATCTTTTCGAGTCATGGAGGTCATTGAGTCTTCACCTTACGTGTGCTGCTCGCGATTCAGGCCAACTCGAGAAGGATGTGAGCTAACCGACGAGTTCCCCCCCTCCACGATATACCAGCGAGTGAAGATTGTTTCGCAATGACTGGAGAGAGATGAATGCTTTACAGCGACAGCATTGGGACATGGCTCATAGTCAATTCTGCCCATGGATGTGCTGTTTAGGGAGCGTACCGAGTGAACCAGTCACCGTTGTAGCCATGAAGGATCAAACACTCCGCAAGATTCTACCAAGCATTGTCGTCATGATCTTCATGCCCAGAATTGGACAACATGTCCCCAGTGCACACCGGTCAACCCTCATGTTACGAACGGTCCGCCCTGAATCTGAACAGACAAGAATCTCTCCATGCCAGCGCCTGGTGCGCGTCCCCAGAACATGGGACGCCAAAACCTTGACCATGCCTTCCTAGTCTTAGCTCTTCCAGCTGCCTTCCCCCCTCCCATAGCTAGTGTCTGGGGTCATCTGGGGTTTCGCGGGGACGCGATTGTATCCCCTCCTCACCTCCCGGGATCCGGGACCTTAAACTTCCTGCTGACACCAGGCTGTGTGTGCATCGATCGACCCGGGTGGCATCTTCCATTGGAGCTATACATTCGTGCTATACATATAATCACCCTTTCCTGCTCTCCTCGGGGAGATCATACAGCACTATGATCACATAGCCCATTCATATCCTTGGATCTTACCGATCGTCACTGCCTTTACACTCCAGCAAGCCTGATTGACACCCTTCCGTCCTGTGCACATACGAGTTTCATCCCGCCACCATGTCTTCCGATGGACGGCCTGATGTCGATGGCAAGTCCCATACTCGTCACATTGAGACCGACGGCAACGACATTCTTCAGGTCCTCGAACACGACGGTAATGTGGCCAAGGTTGTCCACACGGATGGCACTGTCGACTTTATCGATGCCAAAGCCATTGGCGGAGAGTACGACGAGATGCCCAAGGGATACTTCCGCAGCGCCAGCTTCATCGGGACCGTGGTGGTTTGTCTTCCTCAACTCAAAGTTCATTGTTGGCTGATACTTACCGAATCTTCAAGGCTCAATGTCTCGGCAGCATCTGTGCGTACCTGGGCTGGGTCCTGCCCGCCAATACCTTGTATGCATACCCATCTTGACTACTCATCCATTTTGGATCAAGAGGAACTACTGACGCATCGTCCAGGCTGCTCATCAATGCAGATATCGGTCCTTCGGTCAACATCAGCTGGGTGGCCACTCTCTGGACTATGGGAAGCTCCATCGGTTTCCTCCTGTTTGGACGTCTCTCTGACATGTACGGCCGCCGGTGGATGGTTCTCGGCACCACCGTCCTCGGCCTCGTGGGGTGCATCATCGGATCTTGTGCCCAGAACGTCGAGACGTTGATCGCTGCCAACGTGTGCAACGGCATCGCGGCTGCCGGCCAGCTCTCCTTCGGCATTGTTCTCGGCGAGCTCGTGCCCAACAAGATGAGAGGTCCTATCGTGACCATCGTCTTTTTATCGTCTCTCCCTTTTGCCGTTTTTGGTCCTGTCATTGCGCGCTCACTCTTCAACAACACGTCCTCCAAGTGGCGATGGAGCTACTTCATGGGCGACATACTCGGCGCCGCTTCTCTCGTGCTCTACTACTTCTTCTACCACCCGCCGACGTATAGCCAGCTTCATGTTCAGGGCAAGACGAGGTGGCAGATGACCAAGAACCTCGACTTTGTCGGCATCTTTCTCTACGTGTCCGGCTGTGTGCTGTTCCTGATCGGTCTTTCCTGGGGCGGTGTGGCCCATCCCTGGGCGAGCGCTGCCACGCTTTGCACACTGCTCATCGGTCTCGCCTTGATGGTGTCGTTTGTTGTGTATGGTATGTACTCGCCATGTGCCCTCGTGCTACGCCTATCGATGCTGACCAGGTTCCAAAAGAGGGTTATTTCTGCAAGAAGCAGCCCCTGATGCCCCCGCGCATGTTCAAGAATATTGGATTCGACGCCATCGTCGTCGTCGCCACCATCGGATCCATGGTCTACTACTCGCTCACTGTGCTGTGGCCCGTCATCATCGGCACCATGTACACGACCGACTCGATGAAGATTGGCTGGCAGAGCTCCGTCGTGGGAGGCGGCGTGCTGCTCGGCCAGACAATCGCCGGGTTCTGCATCTCCTACGTGCCCAAGGTCAAGTACCAGTGCATCATTGCGGCAACCATCTCGTTGGCTTTCATGACTTCCATGGTCGTCATCTCTCCCGATAGATGGGCCGTGACCATTGCCACGGGCACGATCGTCTGCGTTGGTAAGCCGCTGCTCGCCCTCCTCCCTGATGCCGGCCCAGTCCCAGGCTAACCTGACCTCCCCTCTCAGCCATTGGATTCATCGAGAATATCTCTTTCCCCGGCGTCACTCTCGTCTGGGAAGCCCAAGATATCGGTCTCGCAACCGGCATCCTCGGCTCGATCCGCGGCCTCGGCGGCGCTATCGCACAGGCCCTCTACGGCTCGGTTCTCAACAACGAACTCGGCAAGAAGCTCCCCGAGCTCGTCGTGCCGGCAGCCACACAAGCGGGTCTCCCAGAGACGTCGCTGACGGCGCTATTCGCAGGCATTGCGACAGGCGACCTCTCGGCCGTGCCGGGCATCACCAACGAGGTCATCGCGGCCGTCGGCGCAGCGACAAGGGTGGCGTACACGGAGAGCTTCAAGATGGTCTTTTACACAACGATTCCGTTCTCGTTCATTCTGCTCGTCAGCTCCGTCCTGGTGCCCAACATGGAGAAGTACCTGACTTCTGATGTGGCGAAGAAGCTCAACGGCGCGAGGAGCGAGGAGTCGGGCTCCGAGGAGAAGGTTGAGAAGGTGTAATGGAATGTTGGAAGCGATGTCGGTCTTGTTTGCTCATTTGTTCGTCTGATTGACGGTTTCGAACTAGCTGTGATACCTACTGTGCCTATTAAGGTGCTCTGTGTAAAAAAAATGCATTTCGCAGTTGAGACTTGCCGGCTCCTTAATGTGACAGGTAATTGGCCTATCACAACTGAAATGTATAGTTCCCAAGGCAAGGGCCCTGGGCCGACTCCGATGGCGGGGCACAGAGGGGCACAGAGGGGCACAGAGGGACACACAGGGGCATACAGGGGCATGGAGGGGCATTGGCGGGGTGGCCGATCCCGGACGTTGAAATGGATGGGCAGTCGTGTCGCTGGTTCGGGCCACTGGGTGTGGTGTTCGTACTTGCCTCGTGGTACTTGACTCACACTACCTACTCATTGACTTTGGACGAAATCTCCCTCGAGCCATATCTCGGTGATTGTACGCCATTGACGAACAGCGACCACAAATCCCCCTTACACAGCATTGAGAGATCAAGGTACATCATGGCCGAGTTCCCAACAAAGAAGTGCGGTATGTCAAACGAACCATCGCCTCTGCCGTGTTCCTCGCACAAGGACGTGGCTCGTGACTGATAGCGTGACGAATAACGGCTGACCTGTATCTCTTCTCCCAGGCGTCCTTGGATGCACAGGCTCCGTCGGACAGCGTTTTATTCTGCTGCTCAGCCAGCTGTCCCACCTCCAGCTCGTCGCCGTTGGCGCCTCCTCGCGCTCCGCCGGCAAGAAGTACCGCGACGCCGCGAAATGGAAGCAGGCCACCCCCATGGGCGCCGTCGGCGACCTCGTCGTGCGCGAGTGCAAGGCCTCTGAGTTTGCCGACTGCGACGTCGTCTTCAGCGGTCTCGACTCGGATGTCGCTGGCGACATTGGTGCGTCCCTTGCCTCTGCCCTTCCCTTCTACCGTACCTCTAGGTACGCAAGACACGCCGTGCTGACGATCCCGCCCCCCCCCTCCCAGAGACCGAGTTCCTCAAGGCCAACATTCCCGTCTTCTCCAACGCCAAGAACCACCGCCGCGATCCCATCGTGCCCCTCGTCGTGCCGACCGTCAACCTCTCCCACCTTGACCTCATCCCCCACCAGCGCAAACACCACGGCCTCGACAAGGGCTTCCTCGTCTGCAACTCCAACTGCGCCGTCATCGGCCTCGTCATCCCCTTCGCCGCCCTGCAGGCCCGCTTCGGCCCCGTTGACCAGGTCTCCGTCGTGACCCTCCAGGCCGTCTCCGGCGCCGGCTACCCGGGCGTGTCCTCGCTCGACATTCTCGACAACGTCGTCCCCTACATCCCCGGCGAGGAGGACAAGCTCGAGACGGAGGCCCAGAAGATCCTCGGCACCCTCGCCGCCGACGGCACCGCCGTCCACGAGCAGTCGGCCCTCCGCGTCAGCGCCACCTGCACCCGCGTCCCCGTCCTCGACGGCCACACAGCCTGCGTCTCCCTGCGCTTCGCCCGCCGCCCGCCCCCCTCGGCCGACGACGTCAAGCACGCCCTGCGCTCCTACGTCAGCGAGGCCCAGACCCTCGGCTGCCCCAGCGCCCCGCAGCCCGCCATCGAGGTCTTTGACGCCCCCGACAGGCCCCAGCCCCGCCTCGACCGCGAGCTCGGCAGGGGTTACACCGTCAGCGTCGGCCGCGTGCGCGAGGACGAGAGCGGCATCTTTGACGTCAAGTTTGTCGCCCTGAGCCACAACACCGTCATTGGCGCCGCCGGCTCCAGCATCCTCAACGCCGAGGCCGCCGTGCTCAAGGGTTACATCTGAGCATGTTCAGCCTGGTCGATAAAGAGAAAACACAGAGGCAAATTTACAACAATGACACAACCAAAAAGATGTCTGGATATCAAAAAAGGATCGTTTACATGCACAAACTATAGACATGACAGGTTTCTAATCGCCAATGCAAGAGCTCATGCTTGATTGCCATGGGCAAGCTTGTGATATGGAATGTGATTAAAGCGTATTGAATCATCTATCGAGAAACGCCAGAGGATCATACATCAAGTACGATGGAGTACAATTAAGAAAGCCGAAACAAGGGCCTGGAAGACGACTGGGCTTTTCTCGCAAGTGTGCTCGTCCATCGGCGGCCATGAGACAAAGACTGATAGAGACAGCCGCTCGTGCTGACGATGCAAAGAACTCAGAAATGGACAAATCTTTTGAAACCTTAAACGCCTCATGATCCATGATTTCATGTTGTGTCGTAAATAGTATGACCACCCTTACCACAGAAGAGTTGGACCGGTGTGGACACAAGGAAAGCTGGCATCCAAGGCCGCCTCGAGTGCTGCTTTTCGCGCGCGTAGGAGAAAAGAATGATGGCAGAGAGCACGGCATAGGTGGTGTCGTGCTACCCTACTTGGGCGCCCGCAGATCTTTTGCGGCATCCGAGTGAGTGGCCTCCCAAAATACATGCAGAAGACATTACTGAAAGTTATTCAGAGTTTGTCCTCGTCGTGCTCAGGGAGAGGCGGAAATGGAATCGTCTTGCTTTTTCCATCCGCAGAATCAGAGTCGTCATCAGCGACCTTGTCCTTCCCCTTCTCGGAGTGAAGGGTCTCCAGGGTCTCCAGTTTGTCTTCAGACACCTCACGCGTCGGCGTCATGGGCCTTCGGGCCTCGCTGGATGTCCTGGGCAATTCCGGAATGTCTTGTGGCATTTTCAATGACGCCTGTGAATTAAGATGGGCAATCTGCCTCAGAGAGCTGCTCCGCTGTCGATTGTGCGCCTGAAGAGGTCTGGTGCTGCCGCCTACCAGCGACTCTGGACGTGCAGGTGCACGATCGGACTGGGCGTCCCACTCGGCGAAATCTTTGGCACTCCAAGACGTGCGGTGCGGCCTCGCTCGCCGAGGCAGGCTGCCTACTGAATAGCGGGAGCTGACGCTATTGGCCCGGCTGGATCGGTTGATTGGACCTAGGTAAATGGCAGAGCTATTACTTGGCCCCTCAAGATCGGTAAGTTCATCATCTTCGTCTTCGATCTTGCGCGTTCGTCGCACGTCGTTGACCTGGAAGGTCTGCACCACTGCCTCGATATTGTTGGCATCTGCTTTTGGTGGAGGTGGCATGTCAGGGGCCGTGTTCTGCATATGTTCGTAGTATTGGATGCGGATGCCGTCGAGCTTCTCTGGTTTGAAGGTCTCGCGATTGCGGTGAAGAGACATCCAGGAGGAAAAAGCACCCAGTATCACCAGTGCCAGGACGGCTAGCACCAGGAAGGCTTGAACAACAATGATGAAGATGCCAAGGATGGTGGATAGGATACGGCCGATGCCGAATTCTGGGAGAAAGGCGATCGAGAAGCCAGCTGTGATAATCTTGGAAACTCCCAGCAGCCAAATGGCCACAGTAGAATTTCGACGGCCTTCATATGGACTGAGCTTGATGAAGACAACGAACGAAATGATTTCGAAGATGAACAGTCCATAGACCTGGGCCAGGGGGCTGCGAACGCCCCCACCGAGGAAGCAGGCTCGGATAAACTGGTAGCTGAACCAAAGGGCAAAGAACCACCACCTGCTCCGTCTATAATGAGCAGCCAGCCAGCCAAATCGCTTGATGTAGGCTTCATCCTTATGAACGGTTGTCCTGTTGGGATCGTCGTCGATGAAGCGCACGCGGAAGAAAGGCATCGATCCGTACCGCTTCGCACTCGTTTCCTTTTCTCCAAGATTGCTCGCGCGCGTGGCTGCAATGAATGGCACAACGTTGAAAAGCGTCCCCTTCTCGAAAACAATGATGTCAGGGCCGGTCTCAAATTTGCCGAAACGGAGTCGAAAATAGCAAGCATATGCCACGAGCCCACCCATGCCTACAAGCACAAGGAGAAATATGATGGCGGCTATGGCCGTGGGGCCTGCGGGTGCCTTGATGTTAAATTGGAAGAGAGCGAGAGTGATCAAGGCGGGCGATGCGATGAGGAGCGTGCGCAGGACGCTGGCCGCTAGGTAGCCAGGTAGATGGGAACGAAAGTAGGTGAACCGATCAGCCTTAATGATGTTCGTAGCAGCCAGGAAGTCGAGCAACAATTTGCATGCGGTAACAGACGCAGCAACCAGACCAATGGCTACAATCCACCAGATGAGTGCGACGAGGAAGGCACCAGCGGCTGGAATCTCGACCATTGATAATGTGCCGGGGAACCCTTGCCAAGTACCTGGCAGTGGCATTCCCGGCGTGACGGGGTTGCCTCCCCATTTGTAGTCGTAAGGGTCGCTCGCGTTGTACGGCGTCACCGCGCGCGACATGAGGTTCTTGGGCGTGAGCAATTCGACCGAGCGTCCGTAGATCTGTTGCACGAGGCCACCTTCGGTATTGATGACGGCAGAACCAGCACCACCAACCTGGCTGGCGTTGCCGCTGATGCCAGCAAAGCCGGCAAGTGAGTCGACTATCGATTCGCTATAGATGAGGCCAGCAGACCACGCGAAATTGCTCCAGAAGGCTGGTAAAACGCTGGGCCAGCTGACAGATAGCGCGCCAGAGAAGTATATTGTCTGGAAAGCCTCGAAAATGACGAGAACCGAAAAGGCGTGAGCGTAGTGCGTGCGAATGTGAGGAATGCTGACGCCATATATAGCAGTGGCGAATGAGGATAGGATGGCTATGGCGGTTAAACCACCCAAGGCAGACGATATCGCATTTGGGTGTGAGAATGACCTGCCGTTGTGCATGACAGCCCGGAAACAGCCAATCTCCGTCTCGCTGGAGTTGGCGAAGAGGCGAAGCGTTGCTGAGCCCTCGAAATCGGGAATGTCCAGAGAGATGGACGGCATGCCTTCGACATCATTAGGTGAGATTGGGAAAGCAGCCCAAGCCTCGACAGCCCTGTCGGCGTTTAACGGGCACAAACTGTGTGTTGCGATCAGTGATTGCCACGAAGAATGCTCCGGATGATCGTTTTCCTACCTGTCGATTCTCGGGGAGCCGCAAGGGTCAAAAGTCATATCAAATCGTGACTTGCCATCTTGAAAAGTATTAGTACATTTACATTTTTGTATCCGAGTAATCCGGGGTTGTCTTACAAGCCTCCACAGTGATGTGCACTTGAGGAAAGAAGAAATGTTAGTTAATGCATAGATGAACGTCGAGGATGGTGTCTCATTGTGTCTCGACGCAGCGGCCTAGGCGGCCATGGGAGAGACAACGTACTGATCAAGTTCTCTTGTCTGACATTGGTGTTGCCGTCCAGGTGGAAGACCACGGTCCGATTGTCTTTAAAATAGCCGGTATCGAACTTGGTGATGTTGAACAAGCTCTGGCCTCCGAGGCAGTCGGCAAAATCGCCTGAAAAGAGTGCTGGGTATCTGTCGACAGCAAGCTGTCGCGTCACTCCATTCGTGTCGTTGAATTCTTGGTATACTGTCTCTCGATCTTGAGCCAGGGTTGGCACAATCCAGACAACGACGGCAACCCAGAGGACGACAACCCAACTTTCCCTCCACGTCCGCGCCATGTCGTGAAAAAGCCAACGTAGGTTGACAAAGTCGGACGTGTCGCGCACTCGTCGGGCAAAGGGCCCCGAAAGTTGATTCGGTGTTGCAATGTGAAGATATCAGGGTGATTGGGTACGCTTGAGAATTGTCGAGAGTGTCGCGGGAGATTCGTGATGTCGCGAAGTCGTAATACGAGGGCTGGCAAACATGGGAAGCGCGGTATCTGTCTTGTCGGGCGAGACGCCGTGGACTGCAATGGTCGAAGCAACTGAAACGCTCTAAGGCCTCGATGATTCGTGCGAGATGGCGGGAGCGTTCGCCGCAGGTTGTAGGTTCGATGAAGTTGGAATGACTGCAGTTGACTGTGCAGGAGTGCGTTTTCGAGAAGGGAGCATCGGGTATGCTGGAACAGCAACGATGGAAGGAGAAGCAACAGATAGGGTTCTTTAAGACGGCCAGGGTGCGATATGATCTTATTATCCATCCGACTTCTGGGCCACACTTGGCTCGATGGCCGCACCCAAACGAGCGAGGTTGACCAGGGTGCTAGCAGGGGCTCTGGTTTGACGGTCGAATGAAATGCAAGGCCTGAGCATGCCCGCCAGGCGTACTGGGTACCTGTACATACTGCTATCTCGTCGAGGGTTAGCTCCCTTGCCGCTCTTGCAGAGTCGCAATCATCCAGGCTCAGTTGCTCATCCCGCCTCAGTCAAGCGAAATTCCTGAATACCTACGCTGGCAGGCAAGGGATCATTTAAACTCTGTTGTTCCGACCTTTGTCGTTTCCAAAATCCGACATGGATCCTTGCACCTGCCAACGCGGTTGTCCTCCTGTCTGCCCAGCTTGAGACAGTTGCGGGAAAACTTTGCCATCGACACCAGACCTCAGGGGCGAAGCGGTGGTTTCTTCGCTCTTCGAAACAAAGAGTGCGCAGACACCAATGGACTGCTGGTATGGTAGGATCTGAGGGCAGCGTTGATGATGCAAGGACCCGAAGCACCTAGCCTTACTACATTTTTTTCTGTTGTTGGAATCTGGTATTGCGGGTCAGGTAGGGCTTCTTGAGCTAAATGCACCCTTCCAGATCAAACAAGAGTACTCGACTCCAGGGTGAGAGAAACTTCCGATAACCTCAAACGATGTCCTTGTAGCTCGTGTTGTTAGGCTCCCAAGGCCCCTTAGGTAGGTATCAAGTTCGGTACATGGCACCCAACCCACCAAGTTACGAACCCTGACCATGGGTGCCTACCTAAAAGCAGCATGTTTTCGGAACCAGGCAGGTACCAGGCGACCAGGCGCCGAGCCCCCCTGTCCCTGCCCTGACAGCGCAAGAAGCCTGCAGGTGCCTTCTGATCAACATTGCACCCAAACGGAGTCGGCGCACTTACCCATTGGTTCATGAGTGACAGGAGAAGAGGATTGGAAACTGGAATCTTGATCTTGAATTCTTGAATAACCATCTTGGCTGCCTTGCTGGCCACTGCAACTGTTCAACCGTGCATCAATCACACCTTGACCTTGCTTCACCGGTTCCTACAGCAAACGCTTCTTGACAGTCTGCATCCTGGGCATTGCTCATACAGTCAAACATGCGACATGATCGTCAGACTCTGGCGCCGCTCCAGGAAAGCCGACCATCCCGATCACGAAACATGCAGTCCGCTTGGACCGTACACGTACTCGTTCATTTACTCCCTCCCATCTGCGACGGCTGCTGCGACGCATCGTGGCCAACACATGAACAGTTTCTTTAATCCCACAAAAAGTCATACGGAAGACTCGAGGGTGCCAGCACTGCCAAGCAGCCAGTCGTCCAACCTCCCATTTTCCGCGGTGACCACCGACTCATGACAGCTGGCTCGGCCTACTACATGTACGATTGTACCTCGAATCGGATGCTTCGGCTTTCTGAATGGTCCTGTACAAGTACAAGTCATCTTTTGATGACGGCACTGGCTGCCAAGTAGCCATCAGTCATCCTGAGGACACCACAGCAAATCATCCCATCAGACACAGTTCGCCCTTACTTGGAGGGCTGTAAGACAGCTTGACAGCGTGGACTCTGACAGGGAACAGCACATCGCCGCCACGAGGACTGGACGCCTTCTCGCAGATCTTCCACCCCCGCCCCATCTCCCGCCCTCTAAAGCCCACCATTAGTGGCCGTCGGGGCTTTCACCGCTTGAGTCATTGGCTCGTGGGCTCTTAACGCGAGAGTCTAGTGAGACGTTTATCTTGACGAAGGTCAAGTTCGAGACTAAAACCAACACCCCGGCTTTCTCACCCCAGCCACAGTACTTTCCAGAGTCAAATGCGTGCTTTCCGCTACAGTCAACATATGGTTGGTTTCCTGGGTATTGAGGGCACCTATCGCCGTACCAATCAATCATGCAATGGCGGCATGTCTGTTGTGAGCAGCCGAGACTACTCCATCGGACACGCAGGCTTTGGACTTGGGCAACACACAGCGAACCCCAACTTTAGGAGGGTGCGCTCGCTAGCGATGGGATTGCCTCTGCAGCCGCCCCCTTGTGCGGCAACTTCTGCGACCTGGACAATCTCAGCTGAAGCATCTTTGTAACGCGAGTTGAGGCATTTCTTGGCTTCCATGACTGATTTTAAAAGTCGACGAAATACTAGGGTTGCTCGTTGAAGCAAGCCAGGCTGCAACGCCTCTGCCTCGAGATCGGTTGCGGGAGAATGCATAGAAGGTTCTAGGCCTTGTCCTTGAGCCAAACGCTGTGGCAGGCCACTCGACGGCTTCCATTCTTCTCGAACTCGAACCCGCATCAGTATCGTTACTTGGTGTTTCTTGTTGCGAGTCCTTTGATGGTCGACCTCGAAATGATGAAACCAGACTTTGCGTGGATCATCAGCTGCCTCTATGCTTTCCGCCGGCTACACCGATACGCACCACGAGTCCGGGTCTGCAGGGAGCTCACTTGGTAGACGAACATCAAAGGTCGACCATGCTGCGCAGTAATGCATTCCCGTATCGCTCAACCGACCACACATTTGATCTCGAGCTCGTTCGTGGACATCATCTCCGAGCCTCACGTCTCTGTTCTGCCCCGCCGAGAAACATTAGGACACCACGATGAGATAACCAATCCCGCGTGTTACGATGGTTGCCAAGCATCATCATCATCCAGCCCCAAGATCGCACAAGTCGCGCGGCGCGGGATTGAGCGCATGCAAGTCTGAATTGACTGTCATTTTCGGCTCTGAAATTGGGTATTATACCGCGAGGTCGGCTTGTGGTGGTTCAAAGGGATGCTTGTATGGACATCCCCGCGGGCGATTGAGCACCAAGGTACTAATAAGCACGCCATTCAAGAAATCGATGGCGAATTCGCAGGGTCCAAGAACACGCGGGATCACCCCACGCTCGACTGAGCCACACTTTGGAGGGGCACTGAACTCGAGCCACACTCTGGCGGGGTGACCTTTTTTGACGGACGCAAGGACACAGAGCATGGAAAGACGCAGCATCACGGCTCGCGACAAACCGGGCAGGGTGAATCCAGCCATATATCAACCGGCAACGTCCACACAGTCCCGAATTGTGACGTCGTGAACCCCATTATTCAGAAAGAGTCTTCAACGCCGCCGCGAGGCTCCAGCAATGCCTAGGCCAGGAACATGACACGCGCCACAGCTGATTCGCCCAAGGCAGGGTACGAAGCCGATGTACCGATCACGTCATTCGGAGCTAGACAGGTTGTGTCCACCTTCATCGACATTTTGCGACGAGACGGGCAGTAGGGTGAACCGAGAAGGCCCGCTGATTCGCGCCGGCAACGGAGAAGCTCGTTTTCGTTGACAAAGTCGCGCTTTGGATAAAATGGCCAGCTCGCCGGTTGTCGTGTGTGCAGTGTTTTTCGTGTCCTCCCTCACCATTCAATCCTGACCTACCTCTCTTCTCCGATCTGTGTCTCGACAAGAAGCTTCCAAAGACTAGAGCACGCGAATAGCCTGCCGATCTGTTCGAAAGACCCCGCGAAGCCCCATACCCAGACCTCACCCTCCTCCTCCTCGCAGACCACCATGGCCAACACACCCCACGGCGGTGTCCTGAAGGACCTCTTTGTGCGCGATGCGCCTCGCCAGGCCGAGCTCCTCGAGGAGTCGGACAAGCTCCCCAGCCTTACCCTGACTGAGCGCCACCTTTGCGATCTTGAACTGATCCTCAACGGTGGTTTCTCTCCTCTCGAGGGTAAGAATTTGTCCCCGAGGCACACAGTCACGCGGATCGCACAACAATCGAGCGGAACACTGCAAGACGACAATGCTAACCCTGATGGCTAGGTTTCCTCAACGAGAAGGACTACAACGGGTTCGTCACACTCAGAGATGCGCGGTACCAATACAGCCCGCTAACAGTGTCTCAGCGTTGTCAAGGAGAACCGTCTCGCCGATGGCAGCCTCTTCAGCATGCCTATTAACCTCGATGTCTCTCAGCAGACCATTGACGAGGTTGGCATCAAGCCTGGCGCGCGCATTACTCTCCGTGATCTTCGTGACGACCGCGCGCTTGCCATTCTCACCGTCGAGGAGGTTTACAAGCCGAACAAGTACGTTCCTTTTCCTTCTTTACTAGTGATCTTGGTGGTAGATCATAGTGCTAACGCACGCCGTGCAGGAACCTCGAGGCCCAGGAGGTCTTCGGAAGCCCCGACGACGTTACCCACCCCGGCATCAAGCACCTCCTCCAGGTCGCCCAGGAGTTCTACGTTGGTGGTAAGCTTGAGGCCGTGCAGAGGCTCGCGCACTACGACTTTGTCGACCTGAGGTATACGCCCGCCGAGCTGAGGCAACACTTCGAGAAGCTCGGCTGGAACAAGGTCGTCGCCTTCCAGACCCGTAACCCCATGCACCGCGCTCACCGCGAGCTGACCGTTCGCGCTTCGCGCTCTCAACAAGCCAACGTCCTTATCCACCCCGTCGTCGGCCTCACCAAGCCTGGTGACATTGACCACTTCACTCGTGTCCGAGTCTACAAGGCTCTCCTTCCCCGCTACCCCAACGGCATGGCCGCTCTCGCCCTGCTGCCCCTCGCCATGCGCATGGGTGGTCCCCGCGAGGCCATCTGGCACGCCATCATCCGCAAGAACCACGGTGCCACCCACTTCATCGTTGGTCGCGACCACGCTGGCCCCGGCAAGAACAAGGACGGCAAGGACTGGTACGGCGCCTACGATGCGCAGATTGCCGTGCAGAAGTACCAGGAGGAGCTCGGCATCAAGATGGTCGAGTTCCAGGAGATGATCTACATCCCCGACCGCGACGAGTACCAGCCCGCCAACGAGATCGCCCCCGGTACCCACACTGCCAACATTTCTGGCACGGAGCTCCGCAACCGCCTCAAGACCGGCAAGGAGATTCCCGCATGGTTCTCTTACCCCGAGGTCGTCAAGGTTCTCCGCGAGCAGAACCCTCTGCCTGCGGCCAAGGGCTTCACCATCTTCCTGACGGGCTTCCAGAACAGCGGCAAGGACCAGATCGCCCGTGCCCTGCAGCTCATTCTTAACCAGGGCGGCGGCCGCTCCGTCTCTCTGCTCCTTGGCGAGACCGTCCGCCACGAGCTCTCTGCCGAGCTGGGCTTCAGCCGTGAGGACCGCTCCAAGAACGTTGCGCGCATCGCCTTTGTCGCCTCCGAGCTGACACGCGCCGGTGCCGCCGTCATCGCGGCGCCCATTGCACCTTACGAGGATGCTCGCTCTCAGGCCCGCGAGCTCATCGAGAAGGCGGGTCCCTTCTTCCTCGTCCACGTGGCGACGTCGCTCGAGTACTCTGAGAAGACCGACCGCAGGGGTGTCTACCAGAAGGCGCGCGCCGGCGAGATCAAGGGTTTCACTGGTGTCGACGACCCTTACGAGGTGCCCGCCAAGGCGGATCTCACCGTCGATATCGAGAAGCAGTCCGTCCGCTCCGCCGTGCACCAGATCATTCTGCTGCTCGAGAGCCAGGGTCTTTTGGACAGGATCTAAGGGAGCCCCAAAGTGTCTCTGCGTCTACCAAAAGAGAAGTAGACGCAGCGAGAACAGATATGGGAGTGCAGTCGGATATAAAATTACGAAGGCAACATTATATCATATGGGGTCTTTTTCCTTTGTTTAATTGCGTCGAACAAACACTGGGCGCCCTTAGGGTCCCACTTCCATCTAGGAAGGGTTGGGAGGGGCAGGGAAGGGGTTTTTTAGCATGCATGCATGATGATGATTTCTGGAGACGGTACAGGCAGACATTAGAAGCCAGGTCTTTCAAATAAAAAAGAACAGTTGCTTTAGTTTGGATGAATGATCCGGTAATGTTCGAAGCGGCGGTTATAGATACGACGAACGAACATGGTGTCTCATCGAACTAATCGAGTGGGTGCATGTATGTGTGTGGGCTGTATGGTTGGAGTGGTGTGACGGTTGGGAGTCGAGACAGGTTGGCCAGGCGCTTAAGTGTGGTGAACGAGATGAGCAAGCTGCATGATTGGGCGGCTTCCTGTTCTTTGCTGCCCGATGCTGGACCACTTTTGGTTCGGACCTGTGGATGGTGTCACTGCGGTGTGTGTGTGTGTGTGTGTGTGTGTGTGTGTGTGTGTGTGTGTGTGTGTGGTGTGTGTGTGGTGTCTTCTCTCTGCATATCGGGGGCCATTTATCGGAGGAAGAAGGAGCATTCATCGCATTCTACCTTACCTAAGGTATGCTTCTTGGGCAGCGGGACATACGCACGGTATGACGTGCCAAGATGGAGGGGGCGGAGGAGTGCTTGGTGGTGGTAAGGAGGATGAGGAAGGAGCTCGGAGGTATGAGCAGCTTCTTGGTGAAACGAAAGCGCGTGACTACACAATCATCAATGGTGAAGAGAGAGCCTGGATTCTCGACGGTGGTCATATTTGTCTCGTTCTCAAGTCAAAAACCAGCGCCTTCACTTCAGATGCCTCGAGATGAAGAACCGACAAGAGTGCTGATCAGAGACTGCACCATTAAGCCCCCCCGGCCAGGCTCCCCGCCCCTCCCGCTCACACCTGGTCTGTGCAGCGTGACTTCACCGCCGGTGCCACGTCAGGCCTGAAGCTGGGTACCTGGGTGCCTCAACTGGTGGTCTCGCCAACAGCCCAGAACCAGGACCTTCCGTCGAATCATAGTCGCGAAACTTGCCCGTCGACTGCTCACAGCCGCCTGCCTGGGGTTGGGATGGTCTTAAGGAACGGGCCAACCTCTCCACCTGCGCTACCTGCGATCTCAAGGTCTCCCCATCACGACCTAGACCTGCGCTAAGTCCTGAAGCTCCAGATCGACTCCATCGCCGACCCCCTCGCGCTCGACTCTAGGTCGAGAGCCCTGTCTGCTCCCCCGCTGCTGACCGCCACGATCTCTCCGCCGCTCGGCTTTCTTTCTGCCCACGACTCGCTCGAGACACTCGTCAACTCCGCTTCACATTGTACCTACTCGTACAGACTCTGACACCCACCAAGCCTCTCCTGCCTCCTTCCGCCCCTCTTCCCCCTCCCCCCAACCACAACTCTCGACCACTCCTCACGAGGCTCTTCCCTCGTCACCGGCTAGGGCACCGACCAATGCTCCACCATGTCTACCAAAGATGATCGCGAGGTCGATCTCGATGAGCGCCCGCGGGAGAAGAAGAAGAGCAAGAGCAAGCGGCCGACCTCTGAAGGCGACAAGGAGCACCGCAAATCCAGCACGCGATCCTCCCGACACAAGAAGGAGGGTGGCAGTGAAATCTCCCACTCGCACTCTCACTCACACCGACGTCATCGCACCCGAGACGAGAAGGAGAAGGATAAGGACAGGGACAAGGAAAAAGAACGTGCTGGATCCACGTCGGAGCTCGTCTTCGAGTTTGGCAGGTCAAAAACGTCGATCGCCTCGATGGACCGTATTTCGGTGCCTTACCCGTCGTTCAGCAAGGCGCACAGCAAGGAGGCTGTCAGTCGGGAAGACCTCTCGGGCTCTGCAGCCGGCAGGCGGTCAGGGCCCTTGACGCCCGAGCCCACCGATCTGGGAGGCGAAGAGAAGGAGCGCTCCAAGTCGGCCGACTATTCTACCGCCTCCAGATCCAAAACGAAGGAGGCCCGGCCCCCGAGCCCACCAGAGACAGACGTCTCCGGTAAGCGGAGATCAGGCACGCCCGACACCGCCGCCAAGGAGGCGAGGAAAGAGCGACCCAGCTCGAGGCTCAGCGGAATATCGAGGTCAGCTTCGAGGAACGAGGAAAAGTCTCGTCTGAGCACCAAGTCCAAGTCTTCCAGTCAGGCGACATACTACAAGACAGCCGCCTACATCCCTCCTGGCGTCCAGGATGGCTTGGCCGCGGAGCGAGGCCCTTCCCGGTCATCGTCCAAGAGGAGTGTGTCAAGCAAAAATGGAAGGCGGTCAGACCTCGTCGACGCCGAGTCCTCGCCGGAGAGTGCCCAGGACTCGTCCCCAAAGACGCCGACCCAGACACCCCAGTTCCCCCCATCCATGTTCGGCGCTGAAGACAAACCTTTCACGCCGTTTCAGGACGGTGACATCAGACCCGCCGACACGCCAGCAACCGACTTTGGCGGCCCCCCGCCTCCGCCGCCTCCGCCTGCCGCCAGTGTGCAGGAAGCACCCAGAGTTGACTACCTGCTTCGGAACGGCGGCCTTCCCTACGCCTTGCCGAAGAACTTCCTCGCCGTTCTGCCCCGACAGAACGGCACACGCCCCTCAAACCCTCCTCTCACAGGTGCCGAGACGCTCTTTGCGCCCTTTTTCAACTTGTTGAACCAATACAACACCGTCCTCGAGAAGAGCGGCTCCATAGCCGTTGCGACGGGCCACCGGTCCGTGGCGCGCCGCCTCCTCGATCGGCTGGAGAATGTTTTCTCCCGTGAACTGCCACCCCACGGTTGCAGCTGCGTGGTTTGTGACACGGGAACGGACTTGCACACAGGCCTGGGCTGGGGTGAGGTGCTCGAATGGGTCAGCGGCCGCATTGAGCTTCCCCAGTGGCCACCGTTCGATTTGGCCGATCTAGGCGTCAAGGCCGCCGAGATGTCTGCGGACCTGCCTCCCCGGCCTGATTCACCCATCAAAATGGATCCGGACATTGCAGAAGAGTTCCGCGAGCACTACCTCCGACAGTCGAAGAAGGTTCGCGGGGCCGTCGACAAGTGGCTCAACAAGTGCGGCGATAACCACGCGCCGCCGCCGCAAGAGGTCGATGACGAAACGCTCACGTTTGCGATCCTGACAAACATGGACCCCGAGGACCGGCCTTATTTTAACGCCATCCTGTCGGGCTCTCGGGAAGTTCAGCCCTCTCTCCGGTCTCCTACTCCCATGCGAAGGCCACGCTCCGACTTTATCATCAAGGCCGGCCTGTCCCTCCAGAGGTTGTACAGACTGCAGCAGGCGCCACGTGATGCCGAGACGGCTTCATACCTGATCAAGAACCCAGAGACCCACGACCTCCTCGTGTCCTTGTCCGACATCAACACATCCGAATGGGAGATTCTCACCTCTGGCAGGTTTGATGGATTCTTGTGGTCGGGGGCGGATTCGGACGATGTCCCTACGCCCACGGGCGAGTCGCGTGGCGCTACACCCGCCAGTGGATATTTCCCTTCCCGGGGACCGACACCCAACCTTCGAGCGACGCCTGGACTCCCAGGGTCTCGAAACACGACGCCCTTCTCCGGCGTGTATTCGCGCGGCGCGACGCCTGCCTCGTTCGTCAGCACCTCAACATCGGCACAGACACGGCAGGCGGTGTCCCGAGACGAGGAGATGGAGCTGGCAGCACTGGCCGAGGCAGAGCGGGAGATTTACCAGGGCATGGAAGTCCTGGAAGACGCCTTTGAGGCACTGCACGAGAGGGCCGAAATTGTTCGCACGGCGCTGCGCAACCGAGGCGCCGGTCTCATGCTCAACCTGCAGCATCGCAGACGGATCGACGTGTTGCCCAACCAGCCCAACTCGGGCAACTCGCAAAACTCGGGATACGAGCGGCCGGCGTGGGCGACAGGCAGCGAGCTCGACGCTGTCAGCGACAGCGAGTGGGGTGGTGAGGACTTTGAGCTGATGCCGGACGATTCGGCCAGCAACATCAGCAGCTCGCGACACCGACGGCCCAAGAGGCGCACCGAGCGACGGACGCCTGCGCCCATTGAGGAGGACGACGAAGAAAACTGAACATGATACCCCGACTCGAAGCATTTGTTTTGTGAGAAACGGTGCTGCCCCAAGACGGCAGTCTCCCGTTAGGAACGGATTGGGGCCTTGACGCGCCAAGGGAACGAGGCGGGATGAAAGTGTTGCAACATGGCAGCGACGAAAGACTGAGTGGCCATGTCTGTGAGGGGGTATTTTGAGCAACTAACTGTATTGGATGATGGGATGTGGAGTGATGGCCAGTTGTATGACACACATGCCTGTCAGAGACGTCCATGTCAGAGAACTGTCTTTGTCATGGGCTGTTAAATGAGTGAGAATGAGAGGAGAGGTTATCACGACGCTAGACACGGGGACACAGCACGTAAGGGAACGAAGACATGACCGGACGGGCGGCTGATCTTAGCATGACTCTCTCAGCTTCCTGCTCAACACTGTACATATCGAATGCATTTGTCCATTCCACCACATCCATTGAGGTCTGTGGTGCATTCACGAGCGCGACGAAAGCGAAAAAGGCAGTGAACGACTGCCGCGTTTGGCGAAGGTTGCATTGGGGAGGCTGCCCGGTGTCGTCCAATTGGCAGACGTCCACCAAGGATGAGGCACTACGCCGGAGCCAACCTTGTTGATCGGGTCCAGCCAAGCTAAAAGACCCAGAAGCTGTGGGCACCTCCGTCTCCTGGGAGATACTTGATTGCCGCTGGTGGAGACGCCTGAAATGAAGTATCGGCTATGACAACCTTTCCCACGCGGTTAAACCCCCCACACTAAAAATCCTCTCGTTGCGCTCGACGTACCATGGACCACGGGCACACCACGCTACGCCACGCGAGGTGAGCGGCCAGCAGGAGGGGCGCCCGGTCGGTTCTTCGTCAGTCAGGCGCCCGCCCACTTGCCACTGCTTCGGCACAAGACTGCGCGTGTGTTGCGGGTATTCCCTACCTTGAACCGGCCGGTAGTCGCTACCTCTAGTGTCATATCATGGACCGGGAGCAAAAATTTCATACCATACCCTTCCTCACCTGGACCCTTTGAACCTCACCACATCGCTGCATCGTTTGATCGTGTTGGAAAGCAAGAGATCCATCCCTCTGTTCTGATCATCTTGGTTTGACCTGTGTCCTCCATATCTCACACACATACTCCCTCTCTCTACATCGTTCCGACCCTTGTCGTCACCATCCAACATGGTGCAGCCGTCGACGCAGGCATCTAATGCCGTCATCTTCGTCACCTACAGCCTTTTCCTGTACCTCAAACCCCCACCTATTCTACCAGATTCCCGCGTGCTGACCATGTTTGCAGCCTGATGGGACTGGGCATGGCCTACCGGTACAGACATGACCTCAAGGGCGGGTTCCTGTCTGGTAACCGAACACGGACGGGTTAGACCTCACCTCACGAGTCAGCAGAGGTTATCGAGTCACCCACTCGCTCCCTCTCCTGGCATCACTTTTCACAGCTTGCCCTTCGATGTTCGTGTGGGATGAGAGCTAACAAGCTCCTAGCTATCCCCGTCGCTCTCAATTTTATCGCCAGTGGTGAGTGCAGGCGTCTACGCCTAGCGTAGTCTTATCTCTCCTGAGAGCAAGAGCGGCAGCAAAACTTCTATCGATCTTTTTTTTTTTTTTCGAGCTCCCCAGCCGGAAAACCCCTTCGACAAGCATCATGATCACCACCGTCATGGAGATTCTTCTTCACACCTCCAGTGATGATTCAGTGGCAAATCGAGCGAGAGTCACCCGCGCCACTGGCAGTTAGGTTCGTACCCAAGATGACTATGGTCCTCCTGAGGCCCCGGGAGCGTTTCCCCCCCGCCAAGAGGATCCTGTCGCCGACCATGCGGGAGAGCAATTTCTCGTATACACTGACTAATTGTTCTCCCGTCATGTCGGACGATGAAACCCCCTTGGAGAGGGGTGCGCCCCCGGAGGCGGAAGAGGATGCGGCTCACTACGGGCGCCGTCTTGAAGCACAACGGGCATTCAACTTCTCTCCCTCGATCCTGAAAGAGGAGAAATGTCCCGCACGCGGATAGAAAGCTGAGATTGTACCGTAATACTCGATCAAGTTAATGCTTGCGTGGGAAACGTGCTGCCGCTCCAACTGACCTCTCCCCCTTTTCCCCCTCCTCCCCCCCAAATATCGTCGTGCTAACAGCCCAGGGTTGGGATCGAGTGTGCTCTTCGCTTATCCGGAGCTGGCCACCATCACCGGTGTGCAGGGTGTCATTGTCTACGCCTTGTCCTCCTCTCTGCCGCTGCTCATCTTTGCGGCTCTCGGCAGCATCATCCGCCGAAAGACCCCCGAGGGTTTCGTGCTCACGGAATGGACGCGCCAGCGCTATGGCACCGCAGCCATGCTGTACCTCAGCGCTGCGACGCTCTTCACCCTCTTTCTATACCTGACGGCAGAGCTTTCTGCCATTGGCCAGGTCGTGACCACCCTGACGGGCGTCAACCAGCTGCCCGTCATGCTTGTCCAGGTTGCCGTCACCACCATCTACACCTGTACGTTTGCAGCGCGCTCAGTGGCTTGGGGGGCATTACTAACAGACGTGACACAGCTTTGGGAGGTTTCAAGATATCTTTTGTGACGGACAACATCCAGGGAGGCATGGTCATCTGCCTTATTGTCATTGCTGCCGCCACCATTGGTGCGCTGACCGACATTGACACCTCCTTGATCCGGGAGTCAGAATTTCTCAAGCCTACCCTCCTGGGCTGGCAGCTTCTGTACATTCTGCCCGTCTGCATCCTCACGAACAACTTCTTCCTGTCCAACTACTGGCTGCGCGCTTTCGCTTCCAAGACTGACAAGGACCTTTGGATCGGCGTGTCCCTGGCGACCACGGTGATTCTGTGCGTCCTGGTCCTCGTCGGCATGACTGGTTGCATTGCTGTCTGGTCTGGTGCCCTGCCGCTTGACGAAGTGGCTACTTCCGGCTCGGTTGCCTTCTTCATCTCC